CAGCTGTATTTTGGGAAACACTTGGCGGTCGTCATTGGCCCTGTAGAGCACTCTGGGACAGGTGGTGTGATAGTCCTTGTCCACAGCAAGCTGACAACAAGAAAGTACATTTGTTATTTTCTCTGAGACAGTTGCTGAGTTTGTTTTAGGTGCAAGGCAAAACTTAAATGGAAAGAAAGGATTAGCAAAATACAAGTACAAATGCCCCACTGATATTCTGATTTGAAAAGGTCATCAGCTTACACACAATGAGCTTCAGCCTGTTTATTTAAGGAATAAAAGAAGTATTTGGCTTTTTCCAACCACTAAAAAATTCTGCCTATGCATGAAGAAGCGTTAATTAATTCATGTTGTACTTTGTTTAATGCCACCATTGCATGCATGAAATTCACAATAAGTCACATACTCTTCCATAAAATGTTACCACAGATTATCAACATCTGATTAACATCTGTTTCAGGAAACAGCTATATTTCTTGCCACAGTTTCACTCTTGTGATGAGTCTGTAAAAATACTATTACAATCAGCTAATGATACAAAACCTGCTACCAAAATCTTTTGACTATAATATACATTCACTGCATGCTTGAGTGGTGGTTGTATAAACACTTTAATTTTTACAGCAGCTGTTAACAGGATGGTTTGACTGTTGTGAAAAACAACATAAAAGTCAACAGGATGCACCCCTGATTTAATCATAATTTCGGTCTGAACCTCTCCAGCTCACAAATCGAACAGTTCTGATACAGAACTAAATAGATCTGTTATCCAGTTTTTTTTCACCCTCATTAATACACGATAACCATAAAACTTATATTAAAAGCAGGGTCCAAACCAGATTCAGGTCCCCTTTACTGGGGGTTGTGGTTTGGACAAATCAGTCTCAATTAGAGGCCTTGTCTGAAATTTATAGAAATTCTTTGGATCTATAAAACCTCTTCAAGCCCATCGGGTTGCATGCTTGAGCGAGTTTTAAGCTGCTTAGTTCACCTACACAAATATAAATTACATTGGTGTCAATATGGACATGCTAATATGGACATGCTACACATCGTTACATCAGTTAGATTCAACCGCTCAGTTCCAGTTGCCTATTCCAAGGCATGGTGGCTAAATGATTATGCTTATGATTTGGATAATACTCGTGTGGACAAATAATGTGCAGTGGATATTGACACCATATCCTGCTCTTTAAGTATTATATGTGGCGTTAAATAAAAAAGAATCAATTATTTTATGAAATGTATTTCATACGTTTCAAAAAAACCTGGGTGTTTTGTTAGATGTGTTCAATTCTTTAATGGTGCATTTAATGAGGTAATGATGTGATGTAGAAGTAACAGAGGAAATAAAAGAAGTGGTGAAAGAACATAAGTCATTTTCAACCAAGAGCAATGCAAGAGTCAGGCATTATTTTTAGATTTGAAAGACTTTCAGACTGAAATAATCTGCATTCACAAAGTAGTTACTGGAATCAGGTAAAAATAAATGATGGTTTCTACAAAATAATAATGAATTGTATAATTTCACATTGTTGTCATTTATTTTTTAAATGTCTGTATAATATGACAAACAATGGGGAGAAATTCATGTTTTCATGTCACTGTAAGTAAAAGTTACCTTGTTTGCTATTAGGTAGAACAAAATGTTGTTAACTTTGTTTCAATAATGGATAGATTGCATATCACTTAACTATTAATACACACCTTAATGAGCTGCCCGTCTCCCGTCCCGATGAAGAAAACCACCCAGGCCTTCTGTCTCACTGCCAGCACAGAGGTCATGTAGTTCTGCCTGAAGAGCACCTTCTGCAGCCTCTTTGGCCGAGAAATAAAACATTTATTATCCCATCTGTGGCTAAAACCCTCATCTATGCCTCCATCCTCCTGAAATCCATCTCTTCAACAAGGTCTATGGTGCTGACACACTGGCTAACATTACCAATTTATGTTTGTGTTGTTTGTGTCTCCCTCCATACATGTAAGGCAGCGACATGATATGGAACTGCCAGTTTAATTGTTATTTTTGTGCAGCGGTCTCCTGCTGCCACAGATAAAGTAAAAAGCATCAAATCCATTTAACCCTCCAATCATTTGACCTCTCACCTGTCTTCTGCTCAACATACAAACATGCAGGGTCTCGCAGTCTTTTGCTTTTATTTTGTAAGAAGTTATCAATAATGTGTTCCTTCTACAAATAGGCTTTCAGAGAACTACATTTTTTAACAAACCTTTGTCTCCATATTTTGTGTCTGAGCACCAAGAACTGGCTTTAATCACACAGGTTGCAGTGGGGGAATTATATGATGTCATCCAACAGTATAGTATAATGTAATACAGTCCTACATTTTTACCAAATCAGCGGAAAAAGGTTCCTTAGAACTTACTGGAAGAATCTTGATGGACCTTAAAGAACGTCTACGAAAGGGTAACCCCCTGTGGCATGATGGGAAAAAAGAAATCTGAAAGAAATGTTGTATTTTATGTTAAAATAGGTTTCCTTGATTTATTTTCTACCTTGTTAAATTTGCTTGCGCATTTCACGCTAGAAGCACTAACATTAAAAATACTGAATATTATTATAGTTAGTAAAATGCTCATCAAAATGATGTAAATGTAAATTTACATCATTTACGTTTTTCTGTACTGAATCCTAACATCAGATTGTTCCCAAGTGGAAGTCAGTGAAATATTGGACAGCTTATAGTTCAACTGTGTTGATACCACAGGATAAAGAAATGAAATCAGAGATGAAACTGTTGTAACAAATGGAAACAACATCCAATCACTCAAAACGACTCACCCAACCTTCTTTCTCATAACAATGCTTATTGTATGAGTATGAGTATTTGTACGGATCTACATCGGGGTCTCCGGTGAGATCAGGGCTGATGTCAAACACTAGCAGCTCGGTGTTGGTTTGTCCTCGTCGCACTGAACACGCCGCTCCAGAGCACCGCGGCCACCCGGGATCAACCGAGGAGGGCAGAAGTCTGCCTGTTCTGACTCAGCACACCAAGATCTGAGAGTCGCCGCCCGCAGCGACTTACAGCTGAGTTTGCGTTTTTGCCCTCGAGCCAAATGAGAGGAACTTTGTTTGCGTTTTGTCTTCGAGGGCACGTTGGAGAAAAGACTGATTGTTGAAATATCTGAAGCCACCACAAAAACTCCACACTGCCTTCATGTGTGATGGGAGGTAAATAACTCTCCATTAAGAGCAAATATCCCTCCAATTGATTGTTATTGGTATTATGAAAGTTCACCGTCCTTTGATCCAGTTGGGAAAAAAAAAAGCATTTGGTCTGGGGTTTGTCTTCGTATCTGTATGGCAGCCAGAATGTAGTCTCCGGCTTTGGTCCGGTCTCACATTCACCAGAAAGCTGACGGACGTGGCTGTTGTGCCATGGGGGCCCCACCTGGATCGTGCTCCTTGTTACTCAACTTAGAAATTTTCAGGCCGCAGCTCGCAGTAACCGCCCACTTCTTCGTCATACCGCAGCGGAATCAGACTGTCTCCTCAACAAACGGTAATAATATGTTGAACTCTGAAAGTTGCGTTTCCAACTCTCCGTCCAGACAACCCGCGTCAAAACGTCGAGCTACTTCCACCTGTCCGCACTCTTTTAGGATTCCTCTCTGGGTTCAGACTCCGGCCAGGGTCGGTAGTGTTCAAGCTGTACAGCTTTCTCCTCTGGCAGTAACCGTGTTGTTGGACACGCCGAAATTGGCGGATGCTCCGTTTAAAATTCAAAGCTCCGCCCTCTTCCAGGCACCGAGCGGTTTCTCCAGAGAATGAAAAACAACAGACCAGGCAGCGGATTCATTTTCTAGCCGTGGCAGCAAAAACTGCTCCACACATCGACGGTCGTTCATGGCACTCTGCTCTCTCCACGTTGCACTGGAGTTCCGTCGCGTAAAAAGCGCAGTGCGCCTCTGTTGAAAGGAGTAGAGGGGTGAATTCCACTCGCGGAAGCGCGCAAAAAGCGAAACCTACCTGTGATGAAATGGCGAATTTATAAGAAATAAAGAATATTTTAATAATATTGAAACTGTATGCTTTTGATGACCAGTCACCTGCGGCCCACTTTTAGTTCGTTTTGAAACAAAATAGTTTCGGTCTAACTCACCGTGATACTGAATGTCAGACAGTTTGAGCCTGCAGACCAAATCGAGATTCAGGGGGATATATTATTCTGCAAAAATATAAGTTTACTTAGTATACTAAGTTTATTGTATTTTATCTGAAATGTGTAAAATCTCAATTAGCAGTAAACATGTGAGATCAACGGCAATAATGTTTTTATAATACAAAATACATTACAAAATAATTAGCTGAAATGGAAACAAATTCAAAACCAAACTGCAACAGGAAAGAGACTCAGCTGCTGATAGACGAGGTATGTCAGGGAAATGATAGAAGAACATTAAGCTTGAATGTCAATGTGAGACCAGCAGTGGTTGGGGAGATTCACCTGTGCACAGTGGAGGAGATTAGAGAAGGGGAAGTTATTGCTGGGGTGTGTTTTATTCAAATAATTAATCTGAGACCACACCACTGTTTTGTTTGTAATGATTGTGCCAAGTTGTTTTAGATGATTATCAATATTGTTTTCCTTTTACTTATGTGTCCTAATCTGTCCTGATTGAATGTGTCTATCTGACTTCCTAACAGATCATCATGGTCAAGCTGTTTGATGGACCTACCTCTGAGTGAGGCAGAC